GTATCTGCTGTCATTGTGGTAATAATACAATTTGAGAATAATCGAAATATCACAAAGAAATGCTTAAATCATTAAAATTAGCTGCAATTATTATACAATTTTGAATTATTGTTGAATTTTTCTAATATCATAATCTGTAAAACGAAAGAACTTTCTAGCACCAATGGGCAGCTGATTTCTTTATTTATTTCTAGATACCTAGCTGATTCGAACAAAATAAACGCATCAGTCACTATCACTTTATCTCCTACAATGGTCAACCTTTGTTCTACTTGCAAAACGGACCCGCCTGGTTGTCAGAAGGATCCACCGGAAGAATGTCAAAATAAAAATGATTGTCAATGCAAATGTACCGTTGGCAGTGTCAACGATGTGATGGATAAAGCTGTGACTATCGGCGGGGGAATAGTAGTAGCTGGTTGTGGTCTTTTTTTAACTCTAGCTACTGGTGGTTTGTTTGGAATTCTAGCTGGTGGTGCAGCCTTAGGCGGTGGTATGAGTTCTGTGGTTCATGGAACTACAAAGGCAATTGAAGGTGAACGAATTGACCCTGAATCATATTTGACCGATGTTGGTATCGGAGCAGCAACCGGAGCATTAACCAGCGGAATTGGTGCTGCTGGAGAAGTGGCTGCTACAAGTGCCGTTAAACACGTTGGCACAGAAGTGGTAAATGCTGGAGCTACAAAGTTAGCTGTGCGAAGTGCTACTGGTGTTGTAGCGGGTGTTGCATCGAAAGGTATCGACGACGCTATACATGAAGAAAATGACAGTTCGTTCGGTTCATATTTGGCGAGTGCTGCTGCAGGAGCTATCGGAGGAGCCGGCAGTCATGCGGGTTCCAATGTAACGAAAGTAATCCCGTCTGGTGCTACAAAAAGTGTGGCACGAATTGCCGTAAGTGGAGGAACTGCCGCCGTCGGTGATGCAACACTTCAAGGAATCAACATGGCTGCGGGAAATCAAGATGAATACAATTTGGGACGCACTGCTAGAAGTGCAGCTACAAGTGGAATTATGACAGCCGGACAAGAAGGAATAAAAAATGAAATTTATCGTGCAAGTGGTGGTAAAGATAATTTTCTCCATGAAAAAACACACGAAAAATTGATTAATGGTAAGTTTCTAAGCATCACTTCACTCAAACAAATGTTTGGTAGATTTTCGAACATGCTCTTTCTAATGGGACTTCTAGAAACTGCGGAATAAATATAAGGTGGATCTTTAGTAGAACAATCTTTGATAAATCTCCATTTTTACAAAATTGATCCATCCTTCTCGAAAAATGGCCGAACTACAGATCGCTAGGTGCAGGTTCACGCTAATTCCGAATTCCATATGATATAGAGGACGAAATCGAGCTTAGGAAAATTTAGGAAGCTCTCTGTGGTGAGCGGACATTTTGAAAAAGCGCTCTTTCAGGAAAAACGCTTCACATTTTTCCCAATTTTTACACCTGAAAAACTTTTTCGGCGGTAGGAGATAGCCCTTGTCTTGCGGATTCCGAACACGTCCTTACATTACAGCTAAATTGATCCAGAAGCGGAGCAAATTTGCTTTGCAAAGGAGCTCGGATAACCTACCTAGACTTTTTGGTTCAGCTTTTTTTCGCAAGAAAACGATTTCGGCCAAAAACTTTTCTGCTGTGATAGACCGTTAGTTAAACTCTATAGTGCGGTCTTAAAATTTGGAAAAAATAAACTTCATCTTTTTGACCAAATATCCGCCTGGATGCCCACTGTGCTGTGCTCACAAAAAAAATTCAACCATCTACAGCCTTTGTAGCTATACCGTTCATGACTCACAATGTGAATAATTCGAAAAACCAAAAAATAAAAGTTTCTCAATAATTTTTTTGGAGAGTGTTTTCGCAAAAAGTAAAAGTTGAAGTAGATTTAGAATCGAATTCTGTGTCTGCACATGATAGGAAAAAACGTTTTTGATCGATCACTGGGCCTAATGGCGTACGGAACACATTGCGCAATTTCTGACAAGCAAGTGGACATTTGTTTAACAGAGTTCCTCATCACTCAAAAAATATTTTTTTAAGGTTAACTGACATGCTCTCCCTTTTTGATCGAAGAATCTCCTAAAGATCCGAGGCTTTATGGGTTTTCCACAGATCTGGTCCCTGGAAACCCTTTAAAAAAACACTTTAAAAATTTTTAAACTGTATCATTAGATCTTCTATGGTTGAAAACCTACAGAAAACTGATTCTCATAATTTCTGAAAACTCAACGTCGTCGTTGCAAAAACATCAGCTCAACCTCTTAGAAATCGCCGTTTCCAGAAAAAAATCAAGCAAAGTTCGTCGAAAATGGAGGAAAGACATATCATAACATGCAGTTTTTCGTGCTGTTTCCGAATCTGTTCTCAGTTTTTAGCTAAGATGCTTCATGTCTGGGAAAAACGTGAAAACCGCTAGAAAACCAGGGTTTTTTAACAGCTAGCGCATCTGTGATAAAAAACATTTGCGCAGGTTTGCGCTAGTCGCGATAGATGCTACTACTACTGATAAATATTTCGTAAAAGTTTCAGCTTTGGCGGAATTGGGCACGATCACTTTGTTGTGACCAGTTTTGGAAAAAATACTAAATTTTGGGATAATCCTATTTTTCCCCAGCAAAAAAATAAAAAAAGCTGAAAAGTTTTTCGTAAATGGATAGCCAAGATGCTCGGCTTTCAGAATGTGGTTGTTTCATTTTTCCAAAATTGGTTCTGTTGGCAGGTCACGCATCATTTTTTAAAAGCCATGCAAATCGGGGTAAAAGTTGCAGCTTGCTTTCTCGATGACTTTAGGGACTCGACTCAAATTTTTTTCACTATTAAATAACTTGTCATTTAGTATATACGAAGCACTAATAAAACCTCCAAAAACTTCTCTTTCGTTTTTCTGCAAATGTCCTCGTTGTTGCGCACTGCGTGGACGGTTGAATTTATTCCCAAGAGAGAGAGAGAGAGAGAGATTAAGATATGTTTATCTGAAGAAGTACTTGTGGAAAATAGTCAAAATTTTATCTACATGTGTTTGAGTAATCGCTGGTTACAGCACAATTTTTTTGAAAATTTCCCCATGCAACTGAGAAAGGGTGCCCGGACCTTCGGCTAGTGTTTACCTAAGCTATGAGGCCAGTGACTGATCTAAAAAAAATGTTCCCTATCATGCGCAGAAGTAGAATTCGATTCTAAATCGACTCTACTTTTTACTTTTCCGAAAACAAACTCCAAAAACAATTATTGAGAAAGTTTCATTTTTTGGTTTTTTCGAATTTTTCGGTTTGTGAGCCTTGAAAGGTATAATTAGAGAGGCCGTAGAGGGCTAAAATTTTTTTCGTATACTCATAATATTATTTTGCATCGCTGGTAAAAGTTTCATCGAAATCGGAAAGATTCTTGCCCCAATGTTATACCACTTTCTCGGAAACTTTCTTTTAAGAAAACGTTCCGAAAGAGGTTCAAAACGATGTAATTGATGGATATGAAAATTTGAAGAAATTACCTGAAGGTGCATTAGAACGAGTACAAGGATTTATGTCTAAATATGATGGTTTGGACATTCCCAATGTCCACGAAAAAGCTTTGATTCAGGATATTGAAAGCAGATTGCCGGCATTAAAAGCCGATTTAGAGACTCTAACAAGCAAATTAAAGACTGAAGCCGCGTCAAACACTGCAACAGCCAAGTCAAAGACTGCACTTCAAAATGAGAGAGTTAGAGTTAAAGCAGAGATAAAGAATTTAGATCAAATGAAAAAAGCCACAAATGCCGCTCTTGTACCCGAACCACCATCACATTTTTTTATGAATGAAGGCAATGCTCATTTTCTGACTGGAATGAAGGAAGGACAACTGGCTTTTGATGTTAAAACACCGGGTGTTGAAGGAAGAGCACTGAGAAGAGCAATATTTGATTTCGATCCGAAAGCTCCAAAAGGTGCTCAGCTCAAATTCACCGGTTATATTGATGATCATAATTATTCGAAAGTGCCAAATTTTGGTGAAGGAAAGTATGATCAAACTCATGCAGAATGCAACGAAAATTTAAAATCAACAAACATCACAACTAATTTCACCGGCAATCAAGTAATACAAAATGAGCAGCAGCACATGCAAGACAAAGAAAAAGACGACTAGAAATGTTTTCTTGTTCATTTTTTCGAACTCCTGTTAAAAATGACTAGTGCCTCCACATAAAAAAAAACTTTTTCCAAAATAAAAAAAAACTTCAAGCACAGATATGATTTGAACATACCAGACCGGAAGAAATCGAGCGCGGTGCTTGTTTTTGCCTCCTCAGATTCTTTATTTTTATATCATCGATAACTTAAGCGGAACCTAAAACCTTATGTGAAAAACATTTCTTCTGTAAAATCCGTGAGCTTCTCTAGAATAAGTTTGAGTGAGATTCGGTGTCGAAAACTGCTTTCATAAAAAAATAAAGGTTTTAATAGAAGAACGCTCAAAAAAGTTCATTTTTCGCAACTCCGTGACGTAGTGCAAAATCGTCTTAATCGACATGGGCTCATACAGCAGCAGCGCATGCGTGGTTAAATCATCACAATATCATGTGTCTGGATGAATACCCAGCAGCAAGTCCAGATCTTAATGCCATCGAGCTCGTGTGGTCATGGATGAATCATTATATACAAAGACGTCATCCTAATTCTCAACAACATCTCGAGCAGCTAGTTATGGACGCATGGAATTGAATTCCTCGAACTGTGATAAGAGGTTACATTGATCGTATTCGAAATGTTTGCCATCAGATAATAGCAAACCAAGGTTGGGGAAGTTGAGGATAATTGGAAATTCTAGTGATAACTCTAACTTTTTTTCTTTGAAATTGTAATCGTGGTGATTTTGAACTTGAAAATAAAAAAATATGAAAAAATTGTTTGAAACTTTTGTCATGTATGACGACGTGATATATGAATAATAGCTGACAAAAATAACAAAAGTGCTCGAGAAAATATACAGATGAATAGAGAATTTTACGCACTATCGATTGGTATAAATTCTACTCTGATATTCATTGGATTTGGAAAATCAATTTAGAAAAAAAAAAAAAAGGTAAAATTTTAGTACTTGTCAACCGCGATCACATTCGCTATTTTTTAACTATTGATTAATAGATAAGTGTAAGAAGATGGGTAAGTATATGGGAAGATAGAGAATTTCAAGCTCTATCAGAATATGTGATTACTTTTTTTAAAGCTTATTTTTACTATCGAAAAAAATTTGAAAAACTATGCGAGATGTCAATGATTATATTAGGTATATCGAAATGGAGTACTAAAGGTGTGTACACTTCATTAGAAGAATTTTTTTATACAGCCGTCCGAACAAAAATATAAATATACAGAAAGATGTAAAATTTCACGGGCTTCCCGAATATGTCGTTACTTTTTAAAAAATATGTTCGTTTGGTAATAATACCCTCAAAATACAGAGTGAAACTTACTTTTGCCAGGGGTATATATATATATATATATCTTGTCTTTTATGTAAAAAGTATGTAAGTGTATTTGAAATATAATCTTTTAGTAAGATCAAAAAAGCTTGAGTTTTTATATTATTAATAAGATGGATGAAGCCGTGGACTCTTTGTGAGAAGAAACGTGGACTATTTCTATTATCATTGGTTACTAAAGATTGTAAAATTGCACCTACTATCCATCCCAAAATACAGTGCCGGTTGCCATTTTTTGAATAACTTTTGATCAGAATGAGATAAAGACCTGCGGTTTTCACTGTTCGAAAGAGGATACCTGAACACATGTTTCTATAAGCAAAAGCGACTTTCAAAAAAATTTCTGAAGCGGATTTTTCAGAAGATTTTTGAAAACCTAGCTTGGGTTTTCCGAAATTCACATAGAAATGTGTAGATTTTTTTCATGGGCTGGTAGCCCGGGGTGTTCTCTTGAAAACTGGAGTAAAGTGAAACCTTGATTTTCCGCGGTTCGAGCGTTGAATCGGATTTCCGTCACTCGGTGCTTCTACAGATGTTGTGTTGTGTGTTCACCATAGACACCAAAGACCCATGCGCCCCTCTTCAAGCCGCGAAACTGTCAAAAGGTTCAGGTGCTGATCCAATCCTTTGGACTGGCACTGAATTTACACGGTCAACGTCAGCTGGAAACTTCCGTCTGTATAAAGACGCAAGTGATATTTTTGGTATCTGGGTGCCGAACTCGCCGGCATTTTACTCAGATGGTATCCCACCAAACATATCTGCGCCGGATACTTTGTCTGGACAGATGACTGGTGGGTCCCATCGAGATAAACTGCTTCTCTGCCGTGATTGTGCCTTATTGACACATAAAAATCATCCATATGTTTCTCTTCAGGATGCTGCAAGTAAAATTAAAACAGAAGTGCAAGCATCGCTTCACGAACTTGACTTAACAGAAAAAGAATTTGGTCAACAATTAGTCAGAATTAACGGTCTTATTCAAGAACAAAATGCTATGTACCGCACTGAAAACACTGACATTGAGAGAACATTTGTCTCTTTACATCGTTTATTAACTGATTGTATTCTACATTCTTTTTCATGGTAAGAGGAGGTGTCTAGTTACTTCTTTTTGTCATAGTATTAATTCTCTTATGAATAAAGTTAAACATCATAGTCCTCCTTCACCAGTAAGTACTTTTTTAAGCAAAAAATCTAAATCTGTCGAAAACACACCTGAAATGGATACAGCGGATAATAATGTGA